TCAATATATGTTAGAAAAATATCTTGATATGGAAGGAACTGCTTTACACATTCAAGAGAAAAAATTGCCAAAACTCAACGCAATTTTTAGCAACTTCAGTATTGTACTTTATTATAGTAAAATTATTTTTTAAATTCTAATTAAAACGTTTGCAATTTATCTGAAACCTTGCAGAATATTTTTAACTTTTGTACAAAATAGGATCCAAAACCTGAGATCTACCACATTTTTTTGAAATCTACCACATTTTTTTCCAGATTCTACCACACAAATATTTTTTGAAGTCCGATCACTGGAGTAGAGGACAAAGCAAAGAGTACTTGCAAGCGTAGAAGAGACAAATGTAATTCTGCAACCCTTTAGTATACAAACAAATCTGCAACTTCTAATCAGCTTTTTTTGGAAAAACTCTAAGTATGTAGTTCTATAGCCCATTCGTTGTTAGTGTAACAGAGTGTAAGTGTGAAGTTGCTAGAAAAGCGTGTTGATATTTGGAAATTTTTTTACTGGCGGTGTTACATGTTGCTTCCATACAAAAAAAAGGCGAACACACTTTGTATGGAAGAAACTGCGTGAAAAAATTGCCAAAAGTAAACGCGATTTTTTTAGCAACTTCAGACTTGCATTTTGTTATAACCAGGACCGAAAAGTTTAATAATTTGCTTGGAATTGCTTATTCAGTGTTTCCTAGCTTATTTTTAACAATCATGCTTATTTTGCTTATTTCAATGTATACAAGTAAAGCTAAGTACGGATCTTTTAAGAAAACGGTCAAGAAATAAATTGCTATTATTTCGTGTGTGTGAATAGTAGTATCCAAGGAGTTTTGACATCTGATATTTTACATCCTGCTGTCTCACTTGTACTCTTCACAAATAAACTTTAACAAACCATAGTAGAAAGCGTAGCAAATTTATTATAAACTTCGTACTGCTTAAGAAAATTTGGCTCAATAAATTCTTGACCATTTATTTGGCGTTTTTTTATTCGTTGAATCGTTTACAAATAATAACATAAACCTATTTGGTTTTTATTCACCCGCTCCATCGTTTGTATCAAATTGATGCAAATTTCGAAAACATATTAAAATATTAAGAAAAATAGTTAATGCTTTGAATTGATTTTTTGCGGCAAATTCGTAAAGCATTTTTATTCTTATTATCAGAAAATGAATAAACAAACGTTGGTCATTAATAAAAAAATGAAAAAACCAACATTTTATTGAATACTAGGGTCTTTTTCCATATGTATCACATTGATGCACAACGTACTTTGTGTTACAAAAAATTTCTGATGGATGCGAGTTAAGCCGTAACTTCAATTGTATTTCTGCTTGGGTACAAAAATTTTTGGTGTTATTGAAAAGATTAAAAACAATTTATCTCAAATGAAGAATAACGAAAATTTAAAAATATTAAAATGACCAGCGCAGATCTCTATTATTTGCGAATAGCAAACAACACTTGATTGTCCATTGTAATATTTCAATCCTTGAAATAAACTGAATAAAAAACATTAAACTGTACACTAAATTTCGTTGTTTTGCGAGCATATTTACCAATGTTTTAGTGTTTATCTAAGCGTTTAAAATGGATTTTTTCTAGCTTATTTTCTTCGGCCCTGGTTATAACATACCTAGAATTTTTCTAAAAAATCTGAGAAGTTCAGGCAAAATAAATGCACTTTACCAAAACCCAGTTTATTCGTTTTTTTTTTTTTTATTCAAATTCAAATTCAAAAATTGTTTATGATCGTATACAAAGAACCTATGAGAGTTAATTAGTACGGAATTCTTAAGAAATTTGCTTAGCTTTCACTAGGTCTTTGTTAATTTTCTTGTGAACAAAGACTACAAAGCAACCCATGTTTTCCACAGAAATATATTCCCGTTCCATTTTTTGTGAAGAAAATGTGAGATAGCAGGTTGTGAAATATCATGTGTCAAAATCCCAGGAACACTACTATTCACACACACGAAATAATAGTTGCGTTCCTTATCTCCCAGAAATAGTCAGAAAAAGTCCGAAGTAGTCAGATTTAGTCCAAAAAGCGTTCCTTAACTCGAATATGACAGCAAAAATGAGAGAGCAACCCTCAGTGAGAGTGACTCTCTTCAGTCCGAAGTAGTCAGATTTAGTCAGAAGAATTTTTGATGGCAAAATCTGGAAAAATTTCAAACTCAACTGAATTTAAATTAACGGAAATTAAAGAATACACAAAAAGTGAGAATAATCTAAAAAGCAAAAAAAAGTGAATTGAAAGTGGAAGGAGGCTAAAAATAATTGATATAGTAAGTGTTTATTGTGCTTCTGCTTGTGTGAATGTGTTTTGTACATACATTTCTATTCTTATTTGATGTTAGTTTTGTTGTTGCCATTCTTTGGACTAAAAATTTGGTTTTTTGCGTTCCTTTACTTTTTTCTATTATTCTCTTTTAGTAAGCGCATTTTGCTTACGCCCTTGCATTTTGACCATTTTCAGATTTTAGTCCGAAAAGATAAGGAATGGACCTAATGTAAATTTTTTCTTGACCTATTTCTTAAGAGATCTGTATTTAGCTTCATACATTAAAATACACAAAATATGCATGGTCGTCAAAATTAAGCTTGGTAAATTTGAATAAGCAATTCCAAGAAAAAGCTTAAAATTTTCGGCCCTGGTGATGATAGCCATTTTCGTTGTTCGGACTTAACTTAAAAAACACTG